CAATTTAACGAAGACCTTGCACATTAAAAATAATTTTAAGATTCTTTTAACGTAATAGAAATTCGTTACTGATTTAAAAATGAACAAAAATTAAAGTTTCCAATTCTCTTGAGAATTAAAATGTCGTGAGATAAATCATTTTGTTATAAATCAGTTAATCAAAAAACTATAATTATTATAGTATAGCCATAGATTTTTGCCATAAGATTAAAATTACTTACTTGTTGTACTACTTATTCCTTCATGCTTATATAATTAACTGATTACACAATTATCTTTTGACAGTTTCGTGGAATGGGGGGGAGCTTCTGTTGAAGCTGTACCAGTCGACGTGAGAGATCCTCTGCGCGGTACAATTGTAGGCATTGAAGTAGTGGTATCCAAGAACTCGTCATCAGAATCACTGTCTCTATCTTTACCATCCCTAAACTGCCTTTTTGGCATTATATCGTTAATATATTTTTCAATCATTTGTCGGCTATGGATAGAGACACTGTTACCATTACCAGCCACATATGGCAAGCTATCATTTTTTTCTTGCTGATCCTTGGACAGTCTTTCAATGTACATTCGTTGTAGTTCAGCCAATGCTTCATCCATGAAACGTACAGTTTGTTGTTTACGATCCGGCAACGTATTATTGTTATATCCAATAGATCTACGAACGTCAACATTAGCTTCTTTCATTTTTGCATTCTCAGTATCTAGCAGTGCATTAGTAAAACCTATAGGGAAGTTAGGTTTAGTGTTTATGGTATTACAAGACTGTGCATAATTCGTCTTTTGTTCATTCATTGCATCTCCATACTTATTTAGCACCCAATCTTTGACGTAACTTTTGTCAGGTTTTAAATCGTTTCCTCTGAACGGGGCACTAGGCTGTGCAATGGTAATTGCATCGTTGTAACCCGCTGGAAAGCCGTTTTGTTGTCTTTCTACATTTGCTTGATAGCCATTTTGTAGCTTTTCTACATTCGCTTGAACTACTGGAAAACCATTTTGTCTTTCTACGTTTGCTTGAACTACTGGAAAACCATTTTGCCTTTCTACATTCGCTTGAACTAATGGAAAACCATTTTGTCTTTCTACGTTCGCTTGAACTACCGGGAAACCATTTTGTCTTTCTACGTTCGCTTGAACTACCGGGAAACCATTTTGTCTTTCTACGTTCGCTTGAACTACCGGGAAACCATTTTGTCTTTCTACGTTCGCTTGAACTAGTGGAAAACCATTTTGCCTTTCTACATTCGCTTGAACTAGTGGAAAACCATTTTCCTGTCCTATATTTGTTTGAACTAATGGACGATTACTTTGTAGTCTTTCTGCATTCATTTGTATTGGCGGACGACTACTTTGTTGTCTCTCTGCATTCATTTGTACTGATGGCACACGATTCTGTGCGGCCAGATCCTTCCATCTTCCAGTATTCATTACAAGCTGAGCTAACTGTTGAATTGTTTGTTTCGGTACTGCTACAGCTGCTCTCTCGCTATTACCAGATACAGCTCCGAATTTTGCTGGTGTGGACGTATCACAAGGTTCACCAGCTACACATGCAGGCTGCATACTCAGCCGTCGTAGATGATCATAGCTTTCTCCTTGACCAGTCAATAATTCATCATCGGCATTTTTTAAATTTCGTTGCCGTTCGTAAGAGTCCATAAGTTGTTCAGAAATGCGACATTCGTTTTCCAAGAACGCTGCAGTCAATATCATTGCTGCATTAGGTTCTCGTTGGGTGAACAACCTTCTTCGAGCATGCAGAGTTCGACCTATAGCTGTCTCGAGACGGGCATTTTCAACTTTCTCTTCCAGTTGTCTCTCCATTTCTAAGAATTTCGTGGTTTCGTACTTCAATGTTTCTGTGTTCATGTTAATTTGATCCATTTCTCTTGCTATGCGTCTCTCCGCAGAAGATTGAGTTCGAGTGTCTGTTGCTGAAACAGCTTGGAAACCCAAACGTTGTTGAGCCTTCACGAAAGGTGACTGTGATACTGGTCCCAGTTTCGACCATATGGTACCAGGCTTTTTCACTGGACTAGTTATAGGTGAAACAATGCCCGGTCTCGTCATCACAGGATTTTGATTAATTAATTCAACATTAGAATTTGGTACTGTACAAGGGACCCGGCAAGGTTTTGGAGGAACTAAATCCAGTTTAGGAGGTGCAGCTCCGGGCATTGGTGGAGGCACTAGACAAGTTATGGTAGGTTCTGGTGACGGTGGAGATACTCCAACATCTGTTTCCGAAGACTGTTTCGTGAGTACATTATTGTGTACGACTTTCAATAAGTCGTCCAATCGATTTTCAAGTCTATTTTGACGATCTCTATCTAAATCTAAGAATTTTGTTAACATATCGTTTTGCGCAGCAAGAATCTGAAATAAAATTATTTAAAGTTCTTTTTAGTTTTATATTTTTATTACAATATTTATTCTATTCTCTATTATAATTGTACCTTACCCTATTAACGACTTCATTTTGAGAACTAATGGCACCTAAAACAAGTTGTTCCAACTTCTGGGCTTTCTTCTTTCTAATTGGCACGTTGGGAATATTGTCTGTATTAACGGCAGTATCTTTTGATTTATGGTCACTTCCTGCTTGACTTAAAGAATCCATCAAAAATTCTAGTATAAGACTTTCATCGTTGCAAGTTGCATTATTTGTTAATATAGAAGCATCTTGAGTTCCTGCTTGTACAGCTTGATTATAAGTTTCATTCAAGTTATGCGATTTATCATCATTTTTTGTTTGACAAAAAGCGTCGTTCAAGTTCTGGGAAACATCTGGAGAATAATCTGGAGATAGACATCCGACTCCTTTATTATCTACTACAGCAGGCATATGAGACAACATATTACCATATTGCTGTTTGTATGTAGCTGCTAAATTTTGTCCAAATACAATTTTTCTTGGCTCTTGTGGCATTGCACGATTATTCGCCTGAGCTACTTGTTGCAAATGATTTTGTTGCTGGAGTAACTGTTCCAAATTAACATTTTGTACAATTGTTGGACTAATTTTCATTGGGACATCGACAGGCTGCATTATTAAATTCTGATTTAAATTGTGCTGATTTTGTTGAAATCCTAGATTATTCACCAACATATTTTGCTGATGGCTCATACAATTTTGTTGTAAAGTTTGGTGTTGTTGCATGTTCTCTTGAATTATTTGATTTTGCACATTCTGTACTGCATTTTGATAAGGTATTTCTCCATAACGATAAGGTAATAAATTTTGCTTATAATTAGCACGCAATGGTTCCTCCATTGGAATAGAATTGTACTGGACTGATTTACCAGCTAATTGTACCAATTGTTCACCTGTGTTAATAGCCACATCTCTAGTGGGAGAGAATACTCTATTATAAGGTCTAGCTATTACAGTTTCATTCGATTCAGGGGAATCTGGATATTCATTTTCACCTAAAATTCACAGTAGTTTATGCTAAAGTTATCGATTCACAATACTATTTAGTAAATAAAGTATAACTCTTACGTCTAAAACCCCACGTAGGAGACAATGCTTCTGAATGATGCATTGACTGCACAGGCTCCTGAAACTTGTGTCTCATTTGTAAATTTTTATTTGTCTTTACTTCTTTCGGAGGAGACTTAACATGTATTGCAGCATCTAGAAAAATGTAGAGAAGCAAATGTGATTAATTTACTTGGGCAAGGTGTTCTACAAAGTATTTATTTAAACTGTAAACATTAATTTGATTAATAAAGAACGAAACGAGATACCCCTACAATCGTACAAAATTGCCTTACCTACAGTGTCTATACCATTAGTATTAACTTCTTCAAGACGCTTATTTTTCAGAACTCTATCAATCGATTCATAATATTGCTCTACACCTGCTCGTGTGCCAGCCCGTTTGGCTTCACGATAGCACACCAAAACCTGTTTCATCCGCGATCGACATTGTTTCCCAGATACGTTGTACCCTTTTTTCTTCATATATCGAGCGACACTATCCCATATTAACTGTGGTTTCGACGTGTACTCGAGCTGTTTTTGAACTTGTCTATCAGACCACACTGACACCAACAACGAGGTACTGTCCGGGGTCCATTTATATTTAACAGCATCTCCAGAATCACTCATCTCTCGGGAAAGTTGGTGCTCAAGTGCAAGCTAGTACAGGAACTGTAATAATAACAACACACGAACAAAAGTAGTGTACAGATACTCCGCGAAGAGTGTTAAACCACGCATCAACAGGTTGCCATAAAATACAAACTTCGGTCCATTAGATCGACGACAAACTTTGCTGGAGACACTGTACATACGTTTCGATTAACCGTCACCAACGGACAATTCAAATTTCATTGTGCAACAGGTGGTGGGGAAAAGTGCACGCGTGGGAGGTGCGGTAAGGTGTTTGCTCTGCATGTAGTAGGTAGAGGTAAGGGATACACACATACACGCGTACAAAACGGAAATCGCCTTCAGATGTCGCGGGCAGTGAAAATTCTAATAATTCCGGCGGCAAGGGTTCGGACGCCTTAAAATGTCTGAGAGAGTGTTTGCAGAACTTAAATCATCATCTGTACCGTCAGTCCCTTTCTTCAAGTGGCTGTACAGGTATTGACATAGGTTGTAAAGGCAATTTGAAAAATTGCCGAAAAAAGAATTTGACGAAATCCTGATCATAAATGATCGATTTCCGGATCTCTGTGCTTCGGTGCGTAAGGCTCTCGAAGAAAGCCGTGAAGCTGCCTTCTTTCAGGCCCGCTTTCTTCATTGTCCTTCGATTCAGAGCTCCTGATTCTCTTCGAAGTGTTTCCGATGTTTTACTGCTTACAACCGGCATTCTATTATTTTCCTACCGAGAGTGACCCTCTAATCTAGTTGTGATATTCTTTAGCTACGTTTTAAGGAAATTACAATTGAACGGGTGTCTATTTTATTCCGAGTTCAAACACGCTCTGTCTATAGGGATCAATATGATGGCGACGATCTCGGTTAGGGCGACATCACAATCAAAATAATAAAAATTTTTTAATCTAATGTAATATAAGCGTTTTTATATATTTTACTCGTTACTTTTTCTATTTCTTCTTGCGTTCTTCAAGACTCAGTCTTTACAGACTGTATCGACACTTCTTTGAAACTCTCTTTGTCCTTCGCTCTTTCTGGAAAAGAAAAATGAATTGTACATTAAACTAAATTAGAACATATAATTTCCCGCGTTTCAGTACGATGCGCGTGCGCGTGCGCGTGCTTTTAAGAAGCTGCGTGGACGTATGCACACTGAAAATTGATGCTGTTGCATTATGTGAATTTGGCTTTATGTATTACATTACTTAATTATACAGTGGTCTAAGATCGAAACAATGCATGAGAATAATATCATCGATTTGATTAATGATGTTCTAATGATAAACCCGTTCTGATAAAAGTGAAACGTATTTGAATTTCTGAATGCATTCTGTTTCGTGTGCGAGAACTGCATTCTCGCTGCTTTAAAAGTGCATATACCTCAGGTTTTGCACGATCTTTCTGCCTTGTTCAGCTTTTTAGTTCATGCAGAAATATAGGTGCCACTATAGTCGAGGTAGGCAGCATTTAAAAAGCTGGTGGGAAATCTATATTCTTCGTGCAGTATGGTAGAGAAAGTCAGAAAACAAAATGCAGTCACTGGCGGGAAGATTCACACACGTTGCTAAGTAGTTGTTGCACCCGGTAACGCGTTCGAGTGGTTATAAGTGGTATAACAATTGATAGTATGTAATCATTGGCTTGGTCAGTACATACACCTGATGACCCTGAAGTGATCCAAGGATATTTTTTATCAAAATCGATTAGATATCTGCGGAAGAGGATGGTGTTCGGTTCACATCCGTTGATATTGCGTGTTGTTTGAATAAGTCTACTATTTGCATGTTATTAGATTGTAAACTTGCCAAACGATCATGGAGGTTGACGTAAACAATAGGAAAAAGAGAAGAGCTGTTAACAATGATACGTATCAGTCAAAACGAGCACGAGGAAAAGAGAATAGTTTGGAACATTTCGACGATGTAAGTGGTTAGCTCGAATTGTATTTTCGGTTTTGTAATTCATTTATGTTTATGCATCTTCATATAAATTGCAGGATAAAGCTGGCAAAGTAAAGAAAATTCTAATCAGAAACTTTATGTGTCACGATGCCTTGGAAGTTACATTAAATCCGAATGTGAATTTCATTGTTGGACGTAATGGAAGTGGTAAAAGTGCAATATTAACAGCCTTAACTGTTGGTCTTGGCGCCAGGGCGAATGTTACGAGTCGTGGATCATCTGTGAGAGGTACAGCATATTTGATTTGTATAGTCAATTTTATTTTCCTGTTTTTATAATGACACTTCTTATTAAATAGCATTTATAAAAAAGGGAAAACATACTGCAACGATAGAAATAACATTAACAAATCAAGGGCCAATGGCATATAAACCAGAAGTTTATGGCAATTCGATAGTAGTTTTGCGAACCATTTCAAGTTCGTCTGCTTACAAAATAAAAAATTGGAGAGGTACGTATAACATACGTATTTAAATCATTATCTATTGTTATGTTTATTATGTCATTCTTTATAGGAGATGTAATTTCAACAAAACGAAATGAACTTGACAGTATACTACGAGCAATGAACATTCAAATAGACAATCCAATTTCTATATTGAATCAGGACATATCGAGGACATTCCTGGTAACATCTAAGCCTGAAGAGAAATATGAACTATTTATGAAAGCCACGCTTTTAGATGTGATCGGCAAAAATTATAAAGAAGCTAAATCAATATGTCAAATTGAATATGAAAAATTGCAGCAATATAATGAAGTATGTTTTTATTGTTTATATTTTTGATTTTGCAATTGGTTTTATTTGTACATACTGACAACCACTTTTGCAGATTCTGTCAGAGACTAGGAAGGAAGTAGAGAGGTTGAAGGAAAATATACAAAGAGCAGAAGAAATCGATACATTACATGCTGAAGCAGGTGATCTTGAAAAGGAACTTGTTTGGGCAGTTGTAAGTAATAATTGTAGTACAGGAAAATTTTATGACACAATTTATCGCCTTTGATTAATTAGTAGAAAATCCACATTTCATTGTGTAGGCTATAGCAGAAGAGAAGAAGCTAGAGAAGATCGAAGAAGTTTTTAAAAAGTGTGAGGAGAGCCATAAACAGCTTATGGATGTTGAATCGTCTGCAGATTCAAAAGATGAAGAAATAAACAAAGAAATCCTGTATGTATTGTGGTAACAAAAATTGTAACAAATAGATTTTGCACAAAAAAATTTGTAAATTGTAGATTTATTATTGTTACGATACGTGGGCACGTTTGCTATGTAATATGTAATGTTGTTTGTGCAGAGAATTAGAGGAAAAAATTAAAGATGCGGAACGGGAAGTGACTAATAGTGCGGAAGATTACAATAAAGTTAAGCAAGAGTATAGTATTAATAGAGATACACATTCCACCAAAGTGAGAGAGTGGCGGGCTTGCCAAAGTAAAAGTAAAAGAATGGAAGACGATGTTAACATGATTAAAAAGGAGATACATCGACTCGAAAGGTTTACTAAGTTTTGTCCTTGTGTAGTTATATATTATATATATAATGCAACGATATCTAGTGCAAACGCTATACTTTTAGTGGCGATAATGCAGAACAAATTGAAAGGAATGAAATGAAACAACAATTGGCAGCCTTAGAACAGAAGCTTTCCGAAGTCCAAGCCTTACTGCAGACTAAACAAACTCATCAAACGCACTTAGAAACTGATAAAATGCGTCTTCAGAAAGAAATGCACGCGTCAAAGATTGAAATGGGAAGCTGTGAAAATCGTATTCGTGAGTATCGAAGGTTTCACTTATTTGTTACAGTTATTTCACTTTAGTCTATTATGAGTACCCAAAATAGTTTCTCCTTCTGCAGCGTTTGTTAAAATTTGATGCCGATTTATTTATTGAATTTCATTTCAGAACAAATTCGACGTGAAATTAGTGCCAGAAAAAAACACGCTGATAACGCATTAACTGTATTTGGACAAAATATACCACGTCTTTTGAGAAGAATTGAAGAAGAATATAGTAATAATCAATTTCGGGAAAAGCCACGTGGTCCACTTGGTGTGTTAAAAATAATTCCTTATAAATACCGAAATATAACTTAGCATAATCTAATATACTTTCCTTTATCTTACATATTCTTATACTCTGTTGTTTAGGAGCACACATAAAAATGAAGAATCCAGCCTGGGCACCTGCAGTTGAAAATTTCTTAGGACCCGGCGTCTTTAGCACATTCTGCGTAGACAATAGTCACGATGCCAAAGTATTAAACACGATTATGAAGGAGATTTATCTAAATGAAAGGACTCCGCAGATAATATGCAGCAAATTCTTTAACAAAGTAAGTAATACCTTTGTATTATATTTCATTAGATTATGCAACATTTCATTGGTGTTTCTAGGTTCATGACGTTAGTGCCCATTGCACTCGTTCACCAGATTTTTCTAATCTTTTGGACGCAATGGATATATCAGACCCAACTGTCGCCAACTGTTTAATCGATCAACGCGAAGTTGAATGTATTCTATTAATCCCGACGAGTAAGGAAGCAGCCGAGGTTATGTCGAATGCTTCCCGGGTGCCACGTAATTGTAGGAGAGCTATTACCCAAAAAGGGGATATGTTCTTTCCGGATCCGCATTATAGAAGTTACGGTGGACCACGTGACTTGAAAGCCAGATTTCTTCAAGTCTCAGTTTCCGATGCGATTAAGTAAGACCTCTTTTCTTTTCCACTGCTATATAATTATTTTATTAATGCTGCAAACGTTACATTTTACTCATTTGATTAGTGTACTAGAAGAAGAACTTCGCTCTATAGACAACGAAAAAAAAGTAGCGGCTCAATCGTACACTACAGCACATGAAAAAGAAAAACGTACAAGTTCCGAATTAGTAACTGCCAATCAATTAATCACCAAGCTCAATGCTGCTCAAAATCAATACAAAGGGCAAATCAACGATCTAAAGGATAAGATCGAATCTAACGAAGCGATATCTATTACAGTATTTGTGAGTATTCCATTTTTCAAAATTATATTTGGATTTATAATCTGATTGTGAATTGTATTTTCCGCAGAAAAATGAATTACACGAGTTAGAAAAAAAGTTGAATCAAGAAAAATCTGAGGAGTCCCGTTTAAATGAAAGTGTTCAGGAACTTCAGAAAAAGATAGAGCATCTGGAGGCGGAAATTCGGCGATACAGAGAATTAAGACAGAGCTTGGATGTGAAAATCAACCCGCTGAAGGTATTTTTTGTTTACATTTTTAGTGAGTATCTCATGCTAATGATTTTATATGCGTTGTGCAGGCAAGTATAAAGAAATTACAAGATCGAAAAGAAGAAATGCGATTAAAGACTCGACATGCTGCGAGGAAATTAGAGGCAGTGCGGCAAGCATTGCAGAATGCAACGGCAGAATACGAAATGCAGGAGAGGGTTACTCAAAAATCAGTGTCTGATGCTACGAAACGATGCAATAGGATAGAAACAACAAGGTTGATACATTGATACTCTTTGTTATTGAAATACTTGTCAACCAGAAGTAACATATTTCTTTGCAGATCGACAAGGGAACTTGACAAGTTAGCCAAAGATTTGAAAGCGAGAATTTACGAAATAGAGCGACAATTTGGCACTATAGAACAATTACGAAAACAATTAAAACTGAAAGAAGCAAAGTGTGGGAAAGATTTTAATTTGGCTACGAAAATTGAAAAAAGTTATAAAGTAAGTTACGGTATTGCAAATGTTATTTTTATGGAAGGATATGTATTAATGTATTTATATACGTTACAGGAACATCTTAAACGTCTAGAAGACCGAAGGCAATTGTTCCATGAAATGAAAGAGACTTACGGAGTAAACATACAAAATTCATTTTCGAACGTACTCGCATTACGCAACAATATGGTACGCATAAACAAGATTTTCTTTGTGCAGAAAAAAAATTTTATTCATTATTTGTTTTATATTGTGTATATAAAACTATATAAAACTATATATCAATCAGGGTAGGATAAATATCGACCATGGAAGAAAAATCCTTGTACTTGAAGTGCACGCGCAGAACAGCAGCCAAAGGGCAAATAATGATACGAGATCATTATCAGGCGGTGAAAGATCTTACTCGACCGTTGCTTTTATCTTAGCACTTTGGGACTGCACCGGTTTGCCTTTCTATTTTCTAGACGAATTCGACGTTTTTATGGTGCATATATTATCCATAGATATTAAAGTTCTTTTTCATGCATGTAAATGTTTTTATTAATTGCCATTTTGTAATTAGGATAAGGTAAACCGTCGAGTCATAATGGACATTCTATTGGATCATACCAAAACACATCCGCAAAGTCAGTTTACGTTTCTGACCCCACTGGATACGTCTGGCGTCCTCGCTGAAGATTACGTAACAATTCATCGGTCGGTATAGATAAAATTTAATTAAAAATAATTGAAAAATTGTACTAAGTCTAATTTGTATCGTTATTTGAATGTTTCAGATTGGCACCGCCTGAAAGAGGAAACCAGAATTAAAACATAGTTTCGATATTTTTTTATTGAATGTCTTAAATTATTTTTCTCAGGATATAAAGTATCTCTTGAAAATATTTTATCATTTTTTATATTGTATTTTCTTTTTCAGCTCTATGTCTTATTTATAACAATATAAAAGCTAGGGCATCTGTTCACATTTTTTGAACTAGAAAGAAAGTAGGCTAGTTCTGCTTGAAACGAGCAATAAATTATTTTTCAGTGACATTGTATGAACAATGCGTTAACTAATAGCTGATATTGTTACATGTATAAATAGCATCTTAATACTATTACCTGAAAATAGTATATTTACATTGTTGATAATATCATTAGCATTGAAAAGTGTTACTTGGGAGTATTCACTTAAGTATTACCAGTAATTTTGTACTCCGATCTTATAGTTAATTTCCGTTGATTCGGAATGGATAGGTTTCACTTTGTATTTTTGTGTAATTCGAAGCTATGTTGTTTGACAAGAAAGTTCACATAGGATGTATACAAAGCGTGCAAAAACATATTTTCATAAGTAAAGATAATATATCTATATTGATAGTGTTGTTAAATAGAACATTGTTTATGTTGTATTTTTTAAATAAAATATAACGATAATACAAATTATTTTTATACTTTTTAATAAAAATATGCATAGAACATAAATGAGTTGATCATTCCTAGTAACAATAATAAATTTTCATTGCATTTCTAAGTTTGATTAAAATTTACGAAAATATATAAAAATTATATCCTGCAAAGAAGAAGTTCATTCATTATTGCGAATATAGAA